TCTGAACATTTCCTGTGGCACCTTCTGCCTTTTATATCAGGGTTATGCCCATAGGAACATGCACTTCAGTAATAGGAAGTCATTACAGGATGTCTTCCATTTTCTTTCAGCTCAGCTAGTTTGCTTTTCAGCAAAAGCTGGTTAACATGAGAGAGTTACCTCGTCCTTCAGATGTCCGAGAGGAACTTGGTAAGCTAGTTGAAAGTGTTACTTCTACCAGGGTTAGCAGCAACCACAGCTCTGGGAATTGACGCTTTTGAGATATTCCGCTTTATAAACCCCATTTATCAAACAGCGGGAGAGCTGTTACATATGGTGATGGGCATTATGGAAATGCTTAGGTTGAATACAAAATGTGAATGTGAACTGGATTAATTACCTGCAAGAAAGAGAGAAACTAACTCGGGAGGAGGTAAAAGGAACCAATCATAGATATGAATCAAACAGGGTTGCACAGAAATGTTAGAGTCTGCTTTAAATGGTTACCATTGAAGTTTCCTATGTAAAAGGTTTCCCGGAAGGTCAATGCAGAATTTTAAAAATTTAACATAGTGAAGTTAGATTAAATAATTGCACCTACCACAGTTCTTTGTCTACTCAAAATAGAAAGGTTAGAAGAGGTTTACATAAATTCAGACATCCCTAATAACACAAGGATTAGCTGGTGCTAAAATCCCAATATGAAGAATCAGAGTATGTATGGGGAGAGGAGACCTGTGGGTTTGGCTGAAGAATACAGGGCTGACAATGTGGCTGGATGGGAATAAGAGAAGCAGAGTAAACTAAGGTAAAATCCTTGAATTTATTTTCTATGGGCAACCAGTTTCTATTTTAGTTTAACAAAATATTTCAAGATGTGCTTAATGTTCAGTTATAGTTTAGTCACTTTACTTATTTAAAAAAATCACAATTTGGGAAAAAACTCATGTTTTGCTTGCTTTATTAAAAAAGAAAAAAATTTAAAATTTAAAAATTTAAAAAGGCGGGAAGGCACACAAGTCATCCTATAATGTAGTTCTGTAACTCTACATCTTCAGAAATTATGAGATGAATTCATGGGCAAAAACATGTGGAAATTAGTTTAATAATCCTAAAATTTTCTCACCACTGAAACTACCCCTGATTTTTGGAGAGGTAAGGTTGATAATCACAATGTGATGGGGAGAATGAAGGAGCAAAAAGTCATATGGGAGAGGAATATACAAAACAGTTATAATCCAACTGGTTTTTTTTTTTTTTAAAGCTGGACATTGAGTTTAGATGGGACTTTGATATTCTGCCCATAAAAAATGCTTCTGGGAATCACAGGGCTCTTTGCCTTTGGCCAAAGCACAAATGAATGAGTCACAGAGATACACAACCTAGAACCCCAGGCTGCCCAACACACTGGGAAGATATGGGACCTTCATAACCAGGAGTTTCAGTATTTGATATGTCCTTGAAATGCCCTCTCCCCATCACACACAGAGACACACAGGAAGCAGGTCACATAAGAGCAGTACTAAGAGGTAAGAGAAATGCACAGTAGCCGCAGAAACAGCAAAAGCAATAGGTAACTATTAGATGCTCTCAAGGAGAAAAAAAAGAAACCCTTTAAAATCATTGTGAAGTGCTTTATACCACCGCTATGTCACAGGTATAGGATTCCTCCTAAAAAAAAATGAATTTGTGTCCCTGGCAACCATGCCAATTAGAGACAATGTGTATAAACTGATCAACTGGCAGGACAGACGCAAGGTGCACGTTCTGACAGAAGAGTCTCATCCCATCATCCCAGTGCATCCCCTACCCCATCTTCCTCCACCTTTCCTTCCCCTGACTCTTTAATCCTTCACACTACAAAGTCCTCTGGTCTGGGCAATGGTGTGGACTTGAAATCACAAACCCACCCACTGCCCCCAGAAGCATCCTGAGAAAGTGCTCTTCTATCAAGTTCCCTCCCCAAACAGCAGAGGGGTTACTTAGGGCCAGCACAGGCTACCTGAAACAGGGTCTGTCTGTCACTGACTTCCCTCCCTCTGCCTAGCAGCTCTCCAGGTCACAGTTCTCAAAAAACACATGGAGAAAACAAGTTCATTCTTTTTCCCAGTCATTAAAAATAAACCCAAATGGTCCCCAATTTAGAACACACCTACCAATGAAAAAAGTTAAAAGAGAGGGAGGTGCCCACCCACATAATCTTTCCATTCAAAGAGGCACTATTTCACAGCTGCTATGGAGTTTATAATTAACAGACAAGCTTAACCAACAACAGAAGTTTCTGGAATCTACTGTAATTTACACTAGGGCCTTGCTTATTACAAATTTAGATTACAAGCATGGGCTGGATTGTGTGGCTGAATCCAAAAGCCTTCTTGACGCACCTCTAGCTCAAGTCTCTTGCAGTCACTCAGCCTTGCCTACAGGGAGCGGGGGCAGGCTGAGGCGCTGGCCTGACCCAGTGTGCAGGCTGAAGCAGTGACTACTCTTGCTCACTCACTCCCAGAGCCCACAAACCACCCACCACTAGCTCCATGGAGCTGTCAGGAGGTTCCACTGGAACAATGTCACATTGCACTGAGGTGCGTTCACCATGGGGCCTCCCACAGGTCTTTGAGATGGTTGGACTGCAAGCATTTTGTTTGCTTTCTCACCTGCCACCCCAGGTTGAATCCTCTCACCCCAGGTTCTAAGACAAAGGTGGGTGGGGGGGCGGGCAGGCTGCCAGAGGGCAGAATCACAGAGCAGACAGACAGGAGGGCGGGAGCAGGGCAGTTTTCACAGGCCACAGGTAGCTCTGCTGAGTCGTCTTTACCATCTGAATCTACTGCATCAAGAGCTACACTACAACGGGCAGTCTCCTTTTACAGGAAAGGGAATTGAGCTCAGAAATACAGAGACAGGTCACGCCTACACCTGGTTTGTCTGACTCCAGAGTTCACCCTGTGTTGTCTCTGCAGTCCTGGAAAGATCTCCTCCTGGTCCCCAAAATCCTCCCTTCAAAGGCTGGCCAGGGTGAGGACAAATCCTTCAAGGATCATTGGTATGAAGTGGGCCTTAAATGTCTTTAAGTCCTGGCTGGACATACACATTCCCATAGGAAGGAGCAAGTTGTTGGACTGTGACTTGCCATTAATCTCTCTCTAGGCATTAATGTTAGATACTGGCTCTCACTTGAGGAAACAGCAAGAATAGGAGTCTCATGTAAGATACAAGTGAGTTTTAATAGAAGGAAGGGAAAGACGACCTTGGTTTTTTTACTCTTTTCCAAAAAGAAAATCATTTTTAGAAATCAAAAACCTTCCTGCATATTATACTTTTATGTCAATTGGTAAAAGATATAATGGGTAGGGTTTACTAACTCAATTATGAATTGGTAGCACACTTACTGAAATTTTATTTCAATGAATAACAGAATCTACTAACATTTGAAAACCTTTAGGATCAGGTGCATTGTACATATAAAGGTGTACAAACATATGGCTCATGCTACAAACTCCTTCCTTGAAATCCCCAAGAGTCCAGGGCCCACATGTTAGGAAAGCCCTGACAGAACATTGGGATTTGCTCCAGATGAGCAGGCCTGAAGGGATGTCTTAGGGAGGGCTCCAATGAGGGAACCTGTAGGCAAAGAATGGGGAAGAAGCCCACAAATGATACTTCACATACTTCATAATTTTGCTTAAGACCAGTCCAATGGCCCTTTATCCAATGGTCAAATTATTAATTTATAAATTAATACTGACATTTGGGCAGGTGAACTATGGAACACAGCCACTTGCTATGGGAGGGAATAAATATGAGAAAGGAGGGAGAAGTGTGTCATGGAAAAAATTTAGCTCATCCTGATGTCAAACTGACCTTCCTAGATAAACATGAAAGAGTAAAATTATCTAGAAAAAAAAAAAACAGCAAGGCTGTTCTTTAATGAAGCTTCAGTATCTTCACTTGATTTGGATTGAATAAAAAAGATAATAAGTAACAAACAAAATGACATCTGCCCATGTTAGTGTGAAAAACACAACATGGTCACAACTGAAGACCCTACCTTATCATTTCTCACCAAAAGGAGACCCATTTAAACTTCATCATTACTACTTCCAAAATCCAAGACTGAGAAAGTACCTCACAGATTCATTCATGCTATATATATACTCAAGGTCAAACTCACACAGAAAAAGTGGGAGGAAAATAAATTGAAATCAGAGGACTTTAAATATGTACAGCCCCTTTCACCCTCCATCACCAGTCTTGCCACACTATTCAACATTCCCTGAACAAGGATTGCACCTTGATAGCCATGCCTTTAAAACAAAACAAAACAAAACCCACAGGGTACACTCAGGGTGTGTGCAATAAGCTGAGTGTTCCTGCCACATGCATACACATACACACACACACACACACACACACACACACACGCGCGCGCGCTAAAGTCCTACTATGCTTCTTACTTGACCCCTAAAGGCAGAATGGATCCCGCTCCCCAGCTCCCTCCAGCATATTCTTTAACTTACCTCACACATCCTTCCACGGGGGATCCCTGGAGCCACATCATCACTAACTCCCATTCAACTACCTCTTCACACGAGCACAGTGCTTAGCCCAAAATGCTAAACAAAAGCATGTTGCCAAAACTGATGAACAAACACTCAATTAGGAGGAAAAATGAGGTGAAAATGCTTCTGATATTGACTGTGTGAGGGTTACAGATCCACAAAATGATCATAATGTCTTAGCATTCAATTACCAGAGAAAAATCTCTCTAACTCTGAATTCATCAACCTCCCCGCCTCCATCGGCCAGTGATATTACATGTTATCTAATAAGACGAGAAAGGAAAAGTCTGGTTTTCTGACAAAAAGATTTGAATTGAACACAAAAGTTCCAAACAGCAAGGGATCCCTGCACCAGATCAGAGCCTCTCGAAAGATAAACACTCAGTGAGGAAATCTTCAACACGCTCTCCCCCTTTCCTCAGCCTTTCTCACCAATCATGGAGGCAAACTAGGTGTGCTCACCTGGCTTATTTCCTTCCCTCTCGTGGCCCAGCTGCCCCTTGGTGTTCAAACCGCAGGTGTAAACTTCCCCATCCTCCAGAAGGAATACGGAGTGGTTTCCTCCACAGGCCACTTCCTTGACGCTTCTATCGGATATGAATCCACACACCTGTGGCTCAGCCACAATCCCTTGCAGGTTGGTGCTGATCCCAGGTTGGCCCAGAGACCAATATCCCCAACATAACATTGTTCTGATCCTTCAGGGAGTCATGTAGCCTAGAAGAGAGTTCTGTAAAAAAAAGGTTTAAAAAAAGAGGTCAGAGAAAATAACTTTTAAGTAATAAGTATAATCAATTTTAAAAAGAACACTCCCCTTAATACTCTCCAGATAACTTGCATCTCAAAATAATACATATTAACATCGTTGAAAATATTTATAGTAATGATGCTGTTTTCGTGTTTCAGTAGGAGTTTAAAAAAACATTTCTAAACAAATTTTGTTTGTATAAATGAATAGTGAACATAAACAGAATATAACTTTTAGATCGCTGATAAGGAACTCCAAATACAGGAGACTCGCTAAAACAATCTTTGCAAACCATTATGGCAATAAGAGTCTGGAAATTACCCTCCTAATTTCATCTTGTCCTTTCTCCTTGCCCCTTTTGAGTTTTCTGCTTATTTCATGTTATAAAATTTTTTGAACTAATTAACTCTTTTAGGTAACCTATTATTAGCTTGGACAGTAATAATTCACCACTTAAAACAAAACATAATATTAATAATAATAAAATGGAAAAAAAGAAAAATGGGGAAAAAATGTTATCTTCTCTGCCATTTCTTCTTACACAACCTTCTGGCTCAGAGTCAACTTCACTTCCTACCTAAAAGCCCCTAGGGATCATTCCAGCCACAGTTAGCCTGCATTCCTCTGACACATCTACTATAGTGTCTTGATTGGAGACTTTCTCTGTGGTTTTTTTTTTTTTTTGCTTTTTTTTTTTTTTTTTAAAACTTAACTCCTCAGCCAGAGCCTAACTCCCTTAAATAGGGACCACAGTATAACATACCTCTTTGATTTAGCAGCTACTCAATCAACTTTTGGCTGATTCCTGCTGACTCCAACCCAAAGTTTCACCACCTTTTAGAAATTTATGCTTCCCTTTCATACAAACAAAAACAAAATCTCATTGTGTTCTACCAGTTCACACTCACTAGGATGGCTATAATCAAAAACGACAGATAATAACAAATGTTGGTGAGGATGTGGAGAAACTGGAGCCTTCTACATTGCTGGGGGGAACATAAAAATGTGCAGGTCGTTTGGAAAAATATTCTGGCACTTCATCAAAAGGCCAAATATATAGCTACTATATGATCTGGCAATTTCATCCCGAGGTATATATCCAAGAGATTTGCAAATATATGTCCACACAAAACCATGTACACAAGGAGCACCTGGGTGGCTCAGTCGGTAAAGCATCTGACTTTGGCTCAGGTCATGATATCAGGTTCTTGAGATGGAGCCTCATGTCAGGCTCCCTGCTCAGCAAGGAGTCTGCTTGTCCCGCTGCCCCTCCCCACACCTCATACTCATGTGCATGCATGCTCTTTCCTGCTCTCTCTCAAATCTTAAAAGAAAAACACACAAAAAAAAACTTGTACACAAATGTTCATAGCAGCATTACTCATAATACCAAAATGCAGAAATAAACCCAAATACCTATCAATTGATGAATGGATAAACAAAATGGGGTACTTCCAAACCACAGAATATTATTTCACTACCTATGGTAATGTTATCTGACTTACTCTTTGAACGCTTAAGGCTTCCAGGAAAGGCACAGAAACCCAAAATAAAATATAAAACTGAATCTCAAGATGCTTTCTTAACCAAAAAGTTCTGTTTCTTCCCAAGATTTGTATTCCTTGTCTAGACTCTAGAACTAAAAGGACATTAAGCTTAGCTGTTATTCTTTGAGTTAATTACAAAGGGAGGCAAGATAAAGCACAAACTGGGGCAGGGGGGTAATATATACATTTTAAAAGACCAGAAAAATCACATAATCTTTTCATAATTTAATTTTCCCAACTAACTTCTTTCATCATTTTTAATGTTTCGTGAATTCGTCTTATCTCACCTACCAATAATTACATAAGCAGCATCACAGAGCTTACTATGCAACAGTCACTGTGCTAATTAGCATTTTATATCATTATTTCATCTTCACAACAACCTTATGCCATAAATACTATTTTTAGCTTCATTTTCAGATAAAGCAAGCCTCAGAGAGACTGAGAAGCATGCCCAAGGTCACACAGCTAGAAGGCGTCAGAACCAGGCTACAAATCTAGGCCTGATGCCAATGTCCACAGTCTTATCCACTGGGCTACACTGCCTCCCAAGCAGGTCACCTACAGGAGCAAGAACACAAAAATTACTTGCAGAATGACTAACTGTAGTCAGGATACAATACAGTATGCCCTGCAAATTTGAAAATAAAGTTGCCCTCTGAGAGGGAAACTAGTCAGAATTAAGAGATAATGGCTGAGATTAGGCAGCTGTAGCATTAAGCCATCCCCTTAACCAGCCAAGTACAAACAGTGCGTCTAAAAATATGGCATGAAGAAGCTACAATTGTATGTCTGCAAAAAGATCTATAAACAATGCTCACAGCAGCTTTATTCATACTAAACAAAAATGGCAACAACCCAAATGTCCATCAACAGGAAGCTGGATAAACAGACAGCAGTATATTCATACAAGGAACACAACTCATCAATAAAACAGGGAGAGGGGGCATGGCTGAAACCCACTTAACGTAAAAGCAAGCTGCAACTCAAGGTGATGCAATCTTTCTGAATGATAAAGGTTAGTTTAAAAAAAATTCCTCAAGGGTGTTATCAACTGCTTTTTTTAAATCCATGTCCCAAAGTCCCTCTTCATCTAGTAACAAATTTGCTGCTCTCTTGCACAAGGGTAAGCATGACCCTGGCCAAGCCAATCAAAGAACACCCCTCCAGGGGCGCCTGGCTGGCTCAGTCAGTTAAGCATCTGCCTTCAGCTCAGGTCATGATCCCAGGGTCCTGGGATTGAGCCCCGCGTCGGGCTCCTGCATCGGGCTCCCTGCTCCGAGGAAAGCCTGCTTCTCCCTCCCCCTCTGCTGCTCCCCCTGCTTGTTCATGTTCTCTCTCTGTCAAATAAATAAAAAAATAAAATCTTAAAAGGAAAAACAAAAAACAAAAAACAAAAAACCACCCCCACAAGCCATCACATGACCCCCCACCAAGCCAGAGAAGGCCACCCCTAAGCCACAAGACATGACCACAGCAAACCAATCAGAGAACAGCCCCTAAGCCATTTTGAATGGTTCAGGGATAGGTTCACACTCCCAAGGGAGCCAGAGTCCTTCCCCATGAAGCTCACTGGAGCTCTACAGGAAGACTGCCTTTTGCCTCTGAAGGATAACTGAGGCTGCTGCGAGCTCTGTTCCCTGCCACACGAGGATATACCTATAAGACACTGTTACCCTCCCAGCCACAGAGTTTCAAAGACAAGAGACAGAACCAGTCCCAATAATGTTGCCTAGCGGGGGATCCCCTCTTGCCTGGTGCCAGCACCACCACCTTCACTCTTCCCAACTGCAGCTGTTCTTCATTATTTGTGGGCTCCATGCATGTGAATTTACCTACTCACTCACATGTATTTGTACCCCAAGAGCGATACTTGGAGCATCTCTGTAGTCCTTCTCGGATAGGGGCAGAGAGGTGAAAAATCTGAGTCACCCTACGCACACATTCCCAGCCGAAGTCAAACAAGGGGATGCTCTGCCCTCTCGTTTCAACTCTCATACTGTACAGAAGTGGTCTTTCTGCCGTCTATTTGGTGCCAGACTCTTCAGATTTTTATAGTTTTTGTTGGTGATTTTGCTATTTAAAATGCCACCAAGCACAGCGCTGATGCTGCCTAGTGTTCCTAAGTACAAGAAGGCTGTGCTGTGCCTCACCAAGAAAATACATGGGTTAGATGAGCTTCACTCGCACATGAGGTATAGTGCTGTTGGCTGTGAGTTCAATGTTAATGAATCAATCATGGGACAGATCTAAGAAAAGGAAGAAGGAATTTGCTGATCTACATATGTGGTGGCTGTGGAAAGTGCTAAAGTAACATCTACAGTGCATAATGAAGCTACAGAAAAGACGGAAAAGTAGCTGAATCTGTGGATTCACGAGATGATTGTAGTGTGTGGTGGACAGCATTGCTGGGAGGCTGAAAGCCAAAGAAATACACCATCGCATTACCAAGGATCAGAAAAATGTTAAAAACCCTCTTGGCTAGTGTTCTGTCATAAAGAAATATTGTATACAATTAATCACTTGTAAAAAATATATATTAAACTGGGCATCTAAACAGAAATACGCATAAAACACACACAAAATAAGGTCATATACGGATTGGTTGAGCAGAGGCTCTCAGCAGGAACCTAACTAATCCTGTATTTCTAGAAGAACAGTAGTTCAGTATTCACTACTTCACTGTTTGCAGTGGCTTTGTAGAACACAACTACCACGAAGAACAAAAATCAACTGTATACAGTCTGAATCTCCCTTTTGTGTTTAAGATTGTTCAAATTGGATTTGTCACTTGAAATTAAAAAAAAAGTCCTGATTGATATTATTAATAATTACATTATTAATAACAACAGCAGGTAAGACTTAATTTGAGCTTACTCTGAGTCTGGCACTTTTTCTATGAGCTTCACAGATATTAACTCATTTCATCTTCTATGACGTAGGTGCTGCTATTATCGTGTCTAACTTAGAAATGAAAAAAAGTGGAACCAGAAAGAAAGGATAAAGGAAAAGAAAAAGATAATAAAACAGAGAATGAAGGAACTTGACTAAATCACACAACTAGGCAATGGCAGAGTTAGGATTTAAGCCCAGAATCTGTGCTCATGACCATTATGCCATCTAATAAGGAACCTAGAAAATAAGGAACCAGCCAAAGGGTCAGAACTTCCCAATGTCTCCAGCACCGTCCAGAGAGAAAGGGTACCATTACCAGTCAACCTACGTGAAATGCTAAGTAATCACTGCCCAATAGTGGAGGTGGGTAGATCAGACTCCACAACATTAGTCATTAAATTCACCCAGACACTTGCCATACTTAGATTCCATAATTAACAAGCACCTTAAATAACTTGGTTTCCGAGGCAGCTTCTACTATGGGGAAAGAACACCATGACCAGCTGACCCAAATGTCCCAGCCTTCTTGGCATTTCTACT